TCTCTCTCTCTCTCTCTCTCTCTCTCGCTCTCGCTCTCTCCCTCCCTCCCTCCCTCTCGCTAGTGCACCTTTGGGGGAGGGACGTGAGATGATTCCTGAAGGTGTGTAAAGGAAATTCTGCAACGACAGTATTTGTCTCATTAAAACTTCAAACACCTCATTTACTGGTACCATTTTAAGACGAGCTAACGTTACAAATGTCATGTTTTTAACTATATACACTTGAGCGTCGTTACCCGTTTACAAGTTGAATATTTGTCCGGGTTGTGAGCAGATGTAGCAACCCCACAGTTTACATTTTCGTTCATGTCCGATAGGCCTAGTTATCGTTCAGGAACCTCTCGCTTTGTGTACGGAAAACTCGTAGCAAATGGACGAAACTCAAAGGAACTGATCGAAATTGGCGAGTTGAGAATAAGGATTTCGTTCCGTGACGTGTTACTTAACCAAACCGTAAGAGAAGGAGTTTAATTATTAAACGCCATTTCTTAATAATCTACATCAAAAGAGGTACTTTTAACACCAGCTACTTATCTACCAACCTGAAAGGTAGCAGTGGCTTAAAACGCTTTAAATGTATTAAAAAGAACAAAGTATATCTCCAATGAACAACCCAGCTGGAAAAACACTCTCCCCCTGAACACTAGCGCCAGTCTCTCCCTTCCCTTTGCCACGGGGGTCTGCCTACACCTGATCGGCACCTGTGATAATCCCATATATAGTGGTCCTCATATTTCCACGTTAGACACGGAAGTAGGTGCATAAGTATTAGCGACTATGCATGCGTAAATAAAGTGGAGAAATATATGAATAAATAAGTGAATAAAATAAGGAACTAACTACCAGTTCACCATTTTCCGACATGGTAACAACGAGGGGGAGGGTGGGGAGGATGATGAATTGATGCCTCTTCTCGGTAAGGAATGGTGATAAATTAAAAGCTACGCACGAAAAAAATATGAATAGATAAACAGTAAGACAAAAAAAGCCTTCATTTAAGTTTTAAAAAAATCTATAAGTATCAGAACATTTGACAGAACAAGGAAGAAGGAAGAAGAGGATTTGATACAAAAAAAATGTAAATAAAAAATATTAGGGGACAGACACTGGTAAAGGGTGAAACCGCGATCCCCCGGTGAGAAGGTTCGGGCCTGACAGGGCACCTAACTAGGGGGATCCGGGGGGAGGGGGGGGGAGAGAATAGGGAGGTAGAAGGTCGAGGCCAAGGGGAGAGGGGGGAGGAGGGGGGGAGAGGGGAGGGGAGGAAAGTGCCTGGCTGGCGACGCTCCGGCAGGGTTTTCTCGTCCGCAGTAAGGGCAGGGTCGAGACACGGGCTGGAGGAACGTTCACTCTTGCTCTGGCCACGAGACGCACTGTCACTGACTTCGCGGTTTTTTTCCCCTTCTCTCTCTCTCTCTCTCTACCTATTTTTAGCGCCATTTGTGATTCTCTCCGTACCTTGGACCTCTCTGCGTGTGCTGACTCGTAAGTGTGTTATTCAGGCTCCATGTTATTGAATAATCGTATGGCAAGGTATTGTGCAAGTTCGCATATATGGTTTAGGAAGGGAAGGTGTGTTTAGAATGAAAAGTGATAGAGAGGAAGGAAGATTTTATACGTGTGTTGAGCGTGACGAAGTATGCATTATGAATATATGTGTACTGATGCATCCTTTCGAATTCTGTGCATGTCATTTTTTTCAGAAAAAAAATACAGGCTTATCAATTCTCTACAAACTTTATGATACATATGTATACGTTCCGCCATATTGGGAAAAAAATGACTATCGATGAATGATTATTGAGTGAATCACCCGCCTGCATTTAGTCCCAATGAGCACGTGTTGGCGTCACCGTAGACAGGGATCATATATGTAAACTTTTTTTTGTTTTTATTCCCACTTATAGACAGAATTGAAGAGTTTTAGAAGAAGAAACGACAGATTTAGACATTTAAACTAAGGAAATAATACCGCAGTCTTTTCTGAATCAACTTCCTTAGCAATAAATATAGTGTTTTGACATTCATGAGTCTCCCCCCCCCCCCTCCCGTCACTTCGCTGCCGCCATCGCGTTGAAAAGCCGGCGACGCGTCGGAAAAATAAACGATAGATAGAAAAAAATCGAGATAGAAAAAAAAGGCGATAGTTTTGTGATGATAGTGTCAATTATCGTCTTCATTCTGATTGTGGTGATTGTGAAAATGGTGATTGTGTGCTGTTGGTATAATGGTTATTTTTATTATCATTATTATCGTCTTTTTATTATAATTTATTTGGTTATATTTATTGTCATTATTATCGCCTCTCATCATAGTTATCATCCATTCATTATTTCACCATCATTATCACAGTTACTATCATAATTAATAGTAATAATATTATTTTTACCTTCATCATCACATATATTTCATTAATGTTTTAGTTATCGTTATCGTTTTTATCAATTATTGCTCTTCTACACTGTTCACTATCACTATCTCTTCACTGTTCACTACGATT